ATTTCTCAGAGAGTGAATCCATCTTCGCCACTTAAGACGGTTCTCAGCGATATTACCAGTTGTCTCAAGCATTTGCTTCTTTATGTCTTGATCTCACCAATCAGGCAATCCACAACTCCCTACGTCTCAGCCACAAAGCAATAGTCAAAGACTTCATGGAATGATGGAAAGCTTCGATTTGACCACACCTAACTCTTTTACAAACTAACCCTGTGTTAGCTGTAATTGCTCGACGAGCAAGGCGATAACTCGGTATGCAAAACAAGTGTCCTAGCCGTCACAGTTGATGTGTCTTTATAAACCCATAAAACGTTTTTCCTTCCTACGCCTAACCTGAATATTATTCACCGTATTCTACAGCCTAACACCGGAGGTAGATTTCAAATTTATGTGAACAGGGAATGCTAGACTTTGAATAGCTTGTATTCTCAATGACTACGTTTCAATGCCACAAAGAAGGACAGCGCAAATTGTCGCGCACTACACAGGTCTTTTCAACCTCAACCGGATATCACATCTACGCGAGTGATGACGTAAGCTGACATACGTCACATGAGCCTTTCGTATCCATGCTGAGATTTCACCATTATTCAGTCAACCAGGGTTGATTCAACTACCTAAATAAGCGATCAACACAGTCAACCACTTTAGTCCCTATCTCTACACATGGTGTTGATGCATACTTGTCACGCAGATTCATCTTACACTCGACTCGACAGGAGTAAATCTCATGCCAGAAACTCGAAGATGCCTGTTCATGGTTTTCCGAATATTCACAATTTTGTCCACGGCTTCACCTAGAGGGAATATGTCATCTGTACACTGTAAATCAACTTAACTGTTCCATACAAACAAGTTAGTCCCTAAGCCTTTATATCTATTAGGGCTACAAACATTACTACATTCATGATGACAGTGGGCAAAACAGAGACCAAAAACAAAGACCTCTAACAGGCACCGTTGGTTGTCATGACATCAGATTATGACTCTTCACGCTCCTTTTCACGTATGCATAAGTTCGATTAAAGCGAATGCCTTGATAAGTGTAATACACTTTGTCATCAGTAGATTCACCAGCAGACATTGCCACAGCACGCCTCGTTCGAATTCCTTCTTCAGTTCAAGAAATATGCCAAGTGTTTAAAGTCGGTATGCCAACCGTGTGCCACTCTCTCTCTCTCTCTCTCAATCTTCTTTATCGAGAAACCCCTAACTTTTGGTGTTCTGATGATTAATTGTTCAGTCGATGTTTCTACGAGAAACCAAATACAGTTTTTGATCAGCGAAGAAATATCTCTTTCCGACTTCTACATTTCGAAGCTGTCAAGTCCTATTCACATCACGGAAAAAGGCATTAAGTGGCACTAGGAATTGCTCAGTCAATATACATATGAAAAGAATAAATATAATTAAAATGATGTACCAAGGGGGTAGAGTTGAAGTGGATGGATTACAAAACTTTTAGAATGTTTGGTCAGGTGTTGTCTAAAACATTAACAGTACGATGACGGTAACAGTAAAGACGGCGAAGATCAAGTGAAGTGGAAGCAATTCAAGTGATAAAATTAAGATAAAATAAAAAAAAGAACATAACTATGACCAAGGTAAGGAAAGGCGTTCAACAAAACATGCTTGAACCCACAATTTAGGTTCCTGTCCATGTATAGCCAGAGCTTTGGCTATGCATAAGTGGGGAAAATGTAAGCTTTTAAAAGTGACTAGATTTGTCCCTCTAGGTAACTTTAAAGAATGAATCATGTGGGGCTGAATGACCTGACACCAAAAGGTGTTCACAAATTGAAGACTTCGTCGATCTATGCTCACCTTTCATTAACCAAATCGGGTAATGTTCAGCTACGCGTTTACGGAGAACACGCTTACAACGTCCAGTGTAATCGAGCTCCACAGGAGCATGTGAATGAGTATATGCACATAGAGGTGGAAATAAGCGGTAGTTTATCCTCAACGAATTGTCGAATCATATTTCAGATGACAAATACTAAATTTAAGTCAGCTGCATAAAAAACGCTGTCTCTCTTTTCATAATATAAATAAGACTGTACAGCTTGAAAATGAAGTCGGTGAAAAGAGAGAGATATCACTTCGCTGAACAAAAAGTGTCTTTTCCCTCATGAACTAATGGGTAGATTTCGAGAATCAAAATGCCAACACTTCCCCTGTCTACTAAATAATGGACATTGGTTATTAAACTGTCTAGTGAAAAGAGTAGTAGTAAGACAACTGAAATATGGAGTGTCAATAAACGTGTTTTAAACTGGTCTGCACTGTACTTCATCTCAATATTAGACTATCAGCAGCTGGGACGATCCTACTAGCATCCAAACACGCAGTCTCATTACTGGATGTCGTTTTGACTCATTTTTGTGAATAAGTGATTACGAAATCTCTACTACACAGTGTTCTCCGAAGTGACAAAGACTGACTGAATAATAAAGTGATTTCTACTAGACTATCACAGTGACCATTTCATGCTAACTTCAAGACGTAGAAAGTGACGCGTCTTCCCTTCTCCTCACCAAAACCACAGCTAACTAGGAATGCATCGTTTACACTTCCCACGTCCATATCTGGTTGTTATATGATGCAACCAATCGTTGAATAATGATTCTTGACAAAAAGACAAAAGCAATTAGTCTGACACTTCAACAATCGCCGAATCGAAATGATCGTATGTTCTACGTACAAGCTATATGACTGACAGACTTAAAACACGACCCTAGAAAGAGTCAGACTGGTACAGAGAATTTCCTCTACCAAAGTTTCAATAAGCCATTAATTAAAGAATTTACTGCCTGTTTATTAAAGGAGGATGGGAAGTTGGAGTCAATCAGGTATGGGATCTGCACATTGTCAAAATACTTATTTCTTCCATATTCTCTGGCACTTCAGACGGCCCATGTGAACTGCACAGGTATATTCACTTCACGAATCACCTAATTTTCATTTAATCAAACGATTTCTGTGATTACTGTTGTTTTCTCATTGTGATATCTGTTACTGAAACACTCATAAGTATGGTTCTACTATGCACCGAGATTTTCTTAAGAATTAGCTGGACTATAAATATTTGATCTAACCTTCAGAAATCGACCATAAACACAATTTCATGGTTGTAAGGAAGTCGCTGGCATAGCGGTTATGACTCTCGCCGACCATGCGCATGGTCCGCACACCTGAAATCAATGGTCGGCCTGCATAATTTCGGCTACCGATATCAAATGCTGAAAATTCACACCTGTACCAAAAATACGGTGTGCAATCAAGCTTTAATCAAAACAAAATGGTTGTTGAGCATTACTCAGCACTATACTATACTACTATGAGGGTTATTTAAACCTTGTTGTGGTGATGTAAAGGCGGTTAAATGATGTCACCAAAAATTTCCGGAGGATAATGCATCAATTCAAGTTTCCGTTTTCAATACACTGTTGAATTTGTTTGTTACAAGGGCAATACAATTTCGTAGGAAGGACTGACTACATCAACAGGCATAATTTACCTACCTATTCCTACTAAAGTGGATCCCTTCAATGAAAGATTTTTTCCTTCACCTCTCCAATAAGCAGTGCGTCAGCATCAGTTTGTTCCACTTCGACATCTCTTGTTCCCCACGAAGTAAGACAGTAATCTACAGTTCAAAGCTGAAATCTTACTGTTCACCTAATAAAGTTATAATAGGCAGAAAGATCATACCAATATAACTATGATATTTACGAGATGCATTGTGATGCATTCATCAAACTCATGTGTTGAGGACATACGATCACCGGAACACCATGAATATGGTCAATTGTGACCCCCACCCCACACCACACCACACCACTTAACAGTGATCAACTGGAGGAGAGATTACCGATATTCCACATTCATTTAATTCAGTGTAGCGAAAAGTTGTGTAGAATATTTGTGAAGTTCCATTTATCAAGCCATATACATCAGAAAACGTGAAACAGTCATCCATGCCACTAGGCCAAATATCTCAAAATAAGAGTAGTAACAACAATGTGCAAATCTGCCACACTCAGCATAAACAAGCGACATTAGGAAAGCCAGCTTCGGCCTAAAAACTTCACATTTCCATCGAGTATCTGACAAGTTGAGCAATGAATAAAGCCTCTGTGACAATATCTGTGGGAATTCTCACGCATCCTCATCACCACACGTAACATAGGAAGCACCAATAATTTAACAGTTACATTTCACCTACTATTATTGGTCAGATATTCCATTCATTGTTATTTGAATTTCCTTACTTAACTGGTTTCAAGATCAACTTCATCTCGATACAGTATCAGCTAGAGAAACATTGGAAACAAAGAAGTACTTGATATCTTCTCCTTCCTGGTTCGAAGAAGATGAGTGGTGCACACACACCATAGCATTCCAGCTCGACTCAAGTACATTACAACTGAGTTTCTGAGACATTTCCTCACTGATTACATGATTATCCAATTAGCTGGTAATCCTAAGTCACCAAGGTCGGTTATCTACTCACACTGTCAGTGAACCTTATATAGAGAAACAACACTTCACCAGAGCTTTCAAGGTTTACACTGCTTCACTGAATCACATCGTCATTGACAGCATTGACTACTTCGCTTCAAAAAGCCTGTATCAAAAAACCCAACGGTGAACAACATGCTGCTGGAAACTAATATCTCTCTCATTGTAATTTCCCATCCTATTTCAACAGCTGATTAGAACTTATGACTACACAGTCCACCTTTATAATTCGGACGTTGGAGAAAATGGACATATTTTCAGTCACCCTATAAGACACGAAGAGAGATGACATATGTTCAACACGAAATACTTCAACACTCCCTTCGTCATTCACTGAACCAACAACTCTCCTCAAGCATTCTACACAGTCACTTGAACAAGATAACACAGAAAAATCAAACATGTATTTCGAAAGAGATCATACAAATTCAGAAGAGCAATTATCAAATTATATTACACGATTTAGGTAATAATGACCCATTGTTCCTCATGTGTGTTCTGGATCTTCCAGCTTCCCCAATTCCTATATTCCAAGTGTCTCCAGGTTGAGTAGTGGTCCTTTCATTCAGATTCGTCTAGTTTAAGAGAAAACAAGGATTAAATATTAAACAATATACCAATACAGGCAGAAACACAACCCTTCAGAGAGATGGCGAAGTTTCACTCCGAGTTTATACACAGAATGCATATCAGTAAACAGGATTTCCTTCTCATTCACAATCTCAATACAACAGTATTTGTATTCAACAGGGAATTGTCTTCTGACCAGTGGGAAACAGCTTTCAGTCACACCACTGAATTTCTAACAGTATACAATTCACTCTGCTGGAAATTACATAGTCCATTAGTGTTCTGTGGGACACTGTCCAGATTGGATAGCCACAGACAAGGTGAACAATACTAGTACGTCCATCACTCAGCCGATCTACTACTCTGGACAGCAGGAATCTCTGAGTATCACCACTCTACCACATGAACAACCATTCACCTAGCCATTCGATTTCTCCACTGACCCACCCATTACATCAGTAGTAAGTAAGTAAGTAGCCACCACTACAACTCTATCTCAGATACTCTCACCACTAAAACTGAAAGCGTCACCACTGTTTCTTGTCTATCACCTCGGAGATTTCAGTGCTTGCGCGTTCATCCTAGCACAATGCACCACTATATTCGCAAGGGATTGTGATTCGAAGTCTCAGCTGCACGCACAAAGTCACTGGGACGCCATTAGTATTCCATAGGTCATCAGGTAGATGGGTCTGTCTACACGGAGAACAAATCACACACACGCACACATGACAGTATCTCCTCAAATTCTCGACATCACCTCCTTCAGATTTCAGTCAGCATATTCTGAATAAATGAAGTGGAGGGACCTGAATACTTTGTGCTGCAGATGTGAGTGTTTGTCTCAGATGTCGAAGCACACTGGGGCTGGAAATGGTGTGTGGTTGTTCAATTCTTGACTATTCCCAGCTTGTGTTTAGGAGCCTCAAACACCTCAATATTGATTATTAAGAGACAAAAGTTCTCAGTCAAGAGCAGGCAATCCAATCATGCTGAGTACTTCTAAACATCCAGAACCGACTTAAGTCAGGATATTCCTCGCCGTTATCACACTACCAGAGTAGTGTGTGTGTGTCTGTGTCCATGTATGTATCTTCACGCGTGAGAAGTAGTCTCCAGTAACAAATCTGGTCTCTGTCAATCATGAAAGCTACCAAAGTGTGCTCACCACATGAGTAGATGAAAACAATTGGAATAGCATGACCTACCTCAGGGTTATTCTCCCGCTTCACACGCTTTCTCCCATCATGCATGCTCCTCTCATTGGTACATTGTGAATTCTTACGCAGTTTTGATGTCGGAGTCTTGGCGCTCCTCAACACCTCGTCACTATCGCCACCACGTTTCACTTCACTGGCCTGTCTTGTCAGTGCGATTCTGTTAGGCTTCTGGACACCTTTAGGCTGCTGAGAAAGCCTAATTGGCAAAGTTTCCATTGTGACAAGTTCAGTGAAACTAATCACTACATGACCTGGTACACAACGTGGAGTAGATTTCTTTCCTTCCAAACGTCTTGACTTCCTCACACTCTGTGTCGTCGCTCTACAATACACGGACATTTTAATGAACGCAAACATCAGTTAGGGAGCTGCAATAAATATCATCAGGTTAACACCAGTACACAGAAGTTATAAATGATCAATGACACTAAAGTTACTTATTAGTAGTTCAGTCTGATTAGTTTCAGCAAATCCAACCCTCATATGTAGGCACAGCCGACTGACAATAGAGCAGATAAGGCGAAGACAGCTGCTACAAATTCATCGACTGCTTCAAATTCCAGAAAAATGCACGGGTGTCGAAGAGGGCTGTGACACAATTGAAACTTTTCTCTCCCAATTTGGTATGCGAACAAACGATGAAAGACACGAGAACCAATTTCTGGGTATGAACACTATTTATTTCACTATTTCACTTGTCGTCTTAGAATACCTCATGCAACGAAAATTTGACAAGGAAGCAACTCAGTACGGCTTTTCAGCAGTTATCTGTCAACAAATATGCACCGTTCTAGAACTTTCGAGGTGGCAGTCACAGTGTCCAGTCACCCACTGGATACGTGGATGAATTCTACAGCTGTTATGACCGGAACTATCATCTAGTAGACTATGAGCGAATACTAACTTAATGTGCTAGCTAATCTGTCCTAATGTCACGTCAACACCACAACCACCACCACCACCAACAACAACAACAACGACAACAATAACAATGACACTACCCGCACGCGAAGACAGAAGAGATGACTGGACGTTGAGAAAAGAGCTCCTACTGTCTCAAAACAACAGTCAAAAAATGGTTGACAGCGCCGCTTGCGTATATAAATGTCTACAGTGATCTTAAGAAGCACTAATGCCATTTCTGTCTTAATTTAGACAGTGAACAATCAATAGGATTTCAAAGGTAGCGTGAGAGAAAATTTCGTCACAAATCAATAAGTGTGGTGAGGGAAATACAAACAGACATGTACAAATGACGTGTAGAAAGTTGTGTCCATATATCAAGAGCTGATCACAGTCCATATGAAATCCGCTTTGTTCGCCACCACCACCACCACCTCACAACGGAATATGAACAGACGAATGTAGGTGGGTAGTAGGTCAGATGAGAGGTTTCGAATTTCCTCTTATCACCAGTTGTCCTGGTAATCAATCAATGAGTCTTTAGGAATACTGAAATCGGAAAAGATACCTAGTCCGTCAAATGCTGTAATCAGATTCAATTACTTAGTGTTAGTAATTCTGTCAAGAGTGAAATTTCAACAGCCGGTAATCCATCCAACTAGCTGTACGTACAGTACAGAATATACACTCTCCCCCTCCATGGGGACAGCATCTTTAGGCTTCAACCAACTCATGTTCAGGTTTTCTCAATATTTCACAAGAAATAAGAACAGCCTGACTCAGTCTTCGGCAGTCATTCACCTACTCTTTTGCAGCTCTCAGAAATGACATAGTAATTCGAGAAATAAACATTTTAAGGTGAATACATGATTCACAAATCGTTCTAGACGGAATAAGTTAGTGTGCTCAAGTTGACTAACTACTACTCGTTGCTCAGAGCGTAGTCAATATATTCGACTGATTCGATGATATACGCTACACCTAGCTGACAAGCTACGGGTGGGAAAATAGGCGATTCTCGAACTCGACGTTCTCTTATCATCATCATCATCACCATTAGCCAGCTTTACATCGCCTACACAGGAACTCATTCGTCAGAGAACACCATTCCGTAAATAAACCAATCCAAGGTAAATATAGAAAGACGCGTTGAGAAGAAGTAAGAATATACGTTGGAAAAACAAAATAAGGAAACACTGATTTACAAAAATGTACTCACTCTGACAACAGACACGAGCAGTCTTCCCCGTGTAGACATAGTGATCTCCGCCTCACACTTCTTGATTGTTCGATGTCCTTTCCCGATTTGACAAGCTCATATAGCTTTTCGGGATTCACTTCACAGATGCCTCTCTCGTCGAAACTCAACGGATCAAAAACCATCACCTTCCGCATTGCAAAGAATTTTCGAGAGGGTGATATACTAGCTAACTTTCCATAACAAACACATGAGCAATCACATTTTGCCACCACTCTTATCCATCCACCGATATTTTTTTCTGCGAAATCCATCCATTTGTCCTGACTCTTAGTTTGTCTCTCAAGGTTTTCTGCTTTTCTTTTCATCTGTAAAATCAAAGGCAATGCACTTTTCAGAAGGAATAAAGAATTTTTTGCAAACCTATGCTTGATATCTAATTTCAAAGTGGTCAGCGATGGCGTGTTTTCACTTCGAATGAGTCTTCCACTGTAAACAGATCATTCCCGACACATCTCTTGCAGTCTCGAGGAGTTAAGCGAATTGCAATGCTCGGATTTTAGCTGGATAAAGGGTTACTTACTCAACGACTCTTATGTAATTTCGTCAGATGTCCACTGGAAACTAAGAGGCTCTGAACAAACGGTTCTCCCTAATTTTTTACGTTTCATCTTTGCACACTCATGGCCACAAGACAAATGAAACTCATGACTATCATTCAGCTTTCAAGGTGAGAAGCTCACTATTCATCTCCGGGAGGACATATTCATTCCGTTAATTCCACTACTATGTTTTACTGATTATCCTGTATTTCAAGTCTTCGTCATGTTGTCGGCAACCCGAGATCCAGTAATTACTTGCCTCCAAACAACTGAAGCTGGTGGTTAACGCATGTTCGACATTGCACGCCAACTCTACTCCCCAGTTCATAATCAACTCACTCCGTCTTGTACAAACAGAGAAGTTGATTTATTCAAGAGGAAAGGACTTGGTCGACCTGTGGACAGCCTTAAAGTGGACAATGCGAATCTTGTCAGCTAATAAGAGCAAAGGCGATATCAAACAACATAATTTCTTCCTTCCACCTAAAATCACTGATGTTGAAATGGAAATCAATTCCGATCTCGATGTCACGTCTTGCAATTTAAATCATGAGCAACACGGTGTACTTTCATCTACGACCATGAGCAGCATCACTTCATCTCAAACGCTTAATCGTCGCATCAACAGACATGAAGTTACTTCCACTTAACAGTCAGTAATGCCTACATGCCAACATCGTACATTTCAATGAGGAGCAATTGACATCTAACAGTAAACACTTCCAACAGAGACTGGATGACAAATATCATGCTCAGAAATGCATGAAATGGAGACAACGAATTTCTACGACTGTAGTCTCACATACATCCTACTTCTGGTGTTAAAGCAAGGCTCCTGTTTCCACTAAATCACCGGTACATCAATAAAGAAGCACCAACTACCACAACTCATTCATTACCTACTACAGTGTGAAAGTAAGCCTAAATAATTCTCCCTAACGACATTCAAAACTTATTTAACAGATAAACAATTAACAAGCACATCCATAGGTAAACCCACCTTCAATTCTCTCGAAAAATAGAATCAGTAATGAAAAGCTCACAAGTCACAAGCGTACAGATCTCTCCTCTCGATTGAAATCGAAATGACTGACAAAGTGAATGCAATTCTTCTAAACAGATAACTAACTGATCAGTGTTCACACAAATATTATTATTATTATTGAGTGCAAATAAAATCAATATTCCGTCTTAACCTATGAGCTGATTACTTGTCAGTCAACGCATTCAAACTACTAGTGGTTTTCGGTCAAACTCTCTACATTTCAGTTGAACTCTATTCAACCATGTCAAATGTGTTACGTCATCAAGTTTACTTAGTCTATATAATAAACTTTTCTAGCTTTCTTCCTTCTGCCCACCCCACCCCCCCATTCCCCACCAATAACCAAAATGCTTTTAATCCACAGAGTTGACCTATACTCTTAACCTCATTGCATTTTTCAAATCAGACTACTTTCTCCAGTCTTTGCTCTGATAGGCTGACTCAGCCCAAGCAGATTAAAATAATTTTATTGGATAAAACTGTTATGTACTCGTCGTCAATAAGTTATGGGGTCGTTGTCGATATTAGCGTGTGACCGAATGTAAATATACGCTAATGAGATATAACGGACGATAACGCACAGACTGGTACTGCTGAGTACTAAATTTGTCGTGACGCGACGATGGCAAATCAGAAAACCACCACGTTCACGATGATACGTGTATTTTCCACAAGGGAAATAACTGTCACACAAAGTGTGAGTGAAAGTACCAGACAGTACGAAAGGTGTGAAACAGAGAGAGAGAGTGAGTGACTGAGTTAAAAGTCTACACTACAAGAGTATATATGAAAATGACTAATATACATGAACCAATAAAATAGACAGTATTGGTTTGTAGGGATTTGATTGGTTACAGGATTTTCATCATGAGCTGACATTAGTTAGAGAACCAGTACTCCCAGGTTTTCCAATGGTTCTCTAACTAATGTCAGCTCATGATGAAAATCCTGTAAAATAGACAGTAGTTTTACTTACCATCATTGGATTCTGATTGGTTGTAATGTCATGTGACAAAAAGGTCATACATTGTTTATTTAGTTAATGGACAGACAAAGCATATTGTGAGTTACAATGGAATCACGATCAATATACACCTAGCAAACATATCCGACTGTCAAAACAAAGGCAGACATCATGAGACTACATATCACCTCCCCTTTTGAGAATATTGGTGATTAGTAGCGTGCTTTCGTGGGGTTTTATCTGGAACCGTTGAGTCCGTTGTCGACGTCTGTTGCTTCGTCTGCTTGTTAGGTTGGCAGCTTCTGCTTTGTCCGGGGTTGTCTGACATTTCATGCTTGTTGACTTCATTGCATACAGAATTTAGTGGGAAATCAGCCAGATGTTAATGGTCAAACCAATCAAGTCCCATAAGATTTAAATCACTCTGGGTGACGTAACAAATTTCTGTGAATTTGATGTTGCGGAGAGACATGGAGCACTCGAGTTCGCCAGTTAGTTTAAGGCGTCCGCCACAGGCGCTGACAGCAATCTGCGAAGTGTTTGTGAGAGGTGGTCTGCCAATATCACTCCAAAGTTTCTCTGATATAACCGTAATGTCAGAGGCAGTATCCAACTGCAGTCGTGTATTGTGACCATTTATCTGAAGATCAATATATTTCCGAATACCAGGTATTGTGACTTGACAGGTTGCGAGTAGACTCATTGATCTTCTTGGAGCTTTAGGACTAACAGTTGATCGAGCTTTCGTTTGCTTATGGCATCTGGGTTGGCGTGGCTGATAAAATCCGGCTTTATGACCGAATGTGTTACATTTGTGGCAACGACGATTTTTGTATGGACATGACTTCACAAAGTGCCATGCGTGGCGCCACAATGCCAGAATGGTGATGGTGGGGTCTTCTTTGCAGTATTTTGTGAGGCTGGACGAGTATGTGTAGGGTTACGCGGAACATTAGGAGAAAGTGGGTCAGGACTGGATGATGAAGAGACATTTTTGCTCTCTCGTAATGCACGAATGTCAGAGCTTCTCGAAGTCGGTGTGAAAGACAGAGAGTGAGTGAGTGAGTGAGTGAAAAGTCTACACTACAACAGTATATATGAAAAGGACTAATATACGTGAACCAATAAGATAGACAGTAGTTTTACTTACCATCATTGGATTCTGATTGGTTGTAATGTCATGTGACAAAAAGGTCATACATTGTTTATTTAGTTAATGGACAGACAAAGCATATTGTGAGTTACAATGGAATCACGATCAATATACACCTAGCAAACATATCCGACTGTCAAAACAAAGGCAGACGTCATGTGACTACCTATCAAAAACACACAGTGAGACAGTAGTACTTTGAAAGTAACAAAAGGATGAAGTATGTTACTAAGGCAGTAATTTAGTAGCTATGTTAGGAAGCTAGTAAATAAAGAAACTGTCAATCAGGCAAGTGTGTAAGTAAATAACTAATTGAGAATATATGTGAGTGAGTGAGTGAGTGAGTGGTTAATTTGGGATATAATTTATCACGAAATCAGGTGGATATGTGAGTAGGCTAGGAAGTACTTAACTGGTTATGGAAAGAAGTTAATATGTGTTTGAGTGAGCAACTGAATAAAGAAGCAATTATTTAAGCAAGTAGGCAGGTCAACAAGTAGGCGAGTGTGTAAGTAAGCAGGCAAGTAAGTTAGTGAGTCAGCAAGTGAGTGAGTGAGTGAGTGAGTGAGTGAGTGAGTGAGTGAGTGAGTGAGTGAGTGAGTGAGTGAGTGAGTGAGTGAGTGAGTGAGTGAGTGAGTGAGTGAGTGAGTGAGTGAGTGAGTGAGTGAGTGAGTGAGTGAGTGAGTGAGTGAGTGAGTGAGTGAGTGAGTGAGTGAGTGAGTGACTCTTCATGTAAGTAAGGATGCATGCAAGTTTGGCATAATGTAAGTAATAAGTTAGATGAACAAGTAAATAAGTATGCAATTATGCAGTTTAGTTAGTAAGTGAACATTTAAGTAAGTAATTGAGTAAGTAGGCGGAAACGTAACCAGTTATCGCATAAGTGATTGAAAAATTAAGTGGGGAAGTAAATAAGTACGCAAGCAACTAAATAAGGAAGTGAGAAAGCATGTAAATGTAAATGCATAAATAATCACGCAAGAACGACAATGAAGTCATATGTCTAATAAATGCGAGGGCGGCAGTTTCAATCATAGATACGAATCTTTATCAGACCGTGTTCATTGGCAGTCAGACTGTAGGGAGTCATGTGTATAAAGTCACAGGCATGTTCAACTGCAAATTTCACACTGGCTATCGAAAAGTAATGTTCCCACCAATTGTTGTGCCTCAGTTAACGAGGACAATCCTGAGGCTGTTTTGCTGAGAGAAGTGAGTGTCAAAATTAACACGAAGGAAAGGATCGTAATTACACAGTACGCATCTATCAGCATCCATGAATTAAGAATAGTAGTAGTAGTAGTAGTAGTAGTAGTAAAAGAAGTATTATTATTTGTAAATATATATATACTACTTTACAGCTTGTTCATAAATTCACTGAGAATAGTCTCTTCTCTGAATTGTTAATGTTAGAATGAGTATTATTCAATAATGGATGTGTGTCTGCATATTTGAAATTTTGCTTTTAAATAGTTTTCTCTTCCATTCTAAGTATTGATCTTTGTGTGTTACAAATACGGTGTGGAAATGGAGTCACTATTGCAATTCATGTCTTCCTTATATGAATTTGTATTTCCATGCTCAAGTGATAACCAAATATCGAAACTAGACTATAGTTACACATTTCTAAACCAATCAATTCACGTGTGTGAGAATGATATATTATATATTAAGAGTCGAAAATCGCTTAGTTATATGATAAATAACAAGTGTCTTAGTGCGTTAATATCCCCAGCATGCCATTACAACCTATGATTGAAATTCTAACCAAAATGGTGTTTGTTACCGAATTTATGAAGTTACTGCATCTTTGTTTGCTGTTCATACTACTTGCTAATAGCAAGTAGGTTAATATTTTTTAGTGAAAGTTTCAAAACAACTTCATCTGTGTACATTATCACGAGCCAAAAAATCATTTTAAGTGAATTAAATGACTTGATCTTAACTTTGAAAAAGATTATCAAAACCCAGAAATGGAGAGAAATATAGCGAAACGATCCTCTGCGTTATGTGAGTTGTCAAATGATGAAAGCCAAACTTCTACTAACTTTATGAGCATGTTTACGGAGAAGGGCACAAAAGCCGTCAGTTCAATCCTGAAATACGACGCATATTTGTGAAAGATACTGCGAAATTTGTGTTCAGTCATTCTACAGTAACTTTATCCCCTATAAAACTGGAGGCCTTCTCTGTCGGACCTAAATTCTGCGACATGAACCAAAACATCAGCAAGCTTCATACATATATTGAATGCGAAAATTTGATCAATCAGACTAGTGTTCTTCTCCAAGTCTCTGAAGTGGAGTTCAAAGGTTTTAAGTCAACAATTCTAGACTCACGCCATCAGTACCTCGATGACAAATCCAAGTGCAGTAATCTTTTGACTAAAGAACACAGAGAACAGCTCAACCAATTGAGACGTAACAAGGAATTGCTGATCACACGCCCTGATAAAGGTACTAGCATAGTCCAAATGGACAGAAAAGACTGTATTGGTAAAATGTTAGTAATTCTTTGAAACAACAATAAGTTCGTTGCATCTGACAAAGAGAAAGAAAAAACAGAAATAACAGAAATTCAACTCACTGGGATACTGAGAAAGCTAAAAGTGATCAACTCATCTCTCAGAATGTCTACGACAGCATTCGGCAAACCGGTTCGACAATACACTGACTATATTGATTACCAAAAACTCACAAACAGGGACAAACCGGATCTTCATAACATCCACTTACAAAATAGCTGGCAGAACTCCTACAGCCTTGGTGTTAGAGGACAAATTTCGAAATGCTCCCTTCGAGAAACGTCTGAATTCGTTGACAATATCAAAGATGTGAAAGTGGGCGACAACCGCATGATATCACTCGATGTGGAATCTCTCTTCACAAATGTCCCGATTATGGAGACAATTTGTTTCTTATGCAAGTCCTTGGAACACAACGACTTAAATATCGGAATACCTACACCCAATTTAAAACAACTTCTACTTAGATGCACTTTGAATGTTCAGTTCACATTCAATGGTAT